TATCTTTCAAATAAATCAGAATTATTCAAGCAGTTTGACATAAACAGTTCTTTAGATGCAAGTATTTTACAATTAGGAGTAAATGAAAATAATAAAACGTTGGGAGTATATTGGAATGCACATTTCGATACTATTGAATATAAAATTCAAAATTTTTCAGACTTTTCAAATATAACTAAACGAACAATACTTTCAATTATTGGACAAATTTTTGATATTTTAGGATTGTTAGGACCAGTAATAATAAGAGCCAAGGTTATTTTGCAAGGGCTTTGGAAGGGTAAGTTTTCTTGGGACGAAGAACTTTTAGGTGATATTCGCGATAAATGGATTTCCTTTTGTAGGGATTTAATACACATCAATAAAATAAAGATTCCTCGACATGTTTTTATTAAAAATCCTACCTATATTCAGTTACATACCTTTTCAGACTCTTCAGAAGCTTCATATGGAGCTTGCTCGTATATTCGTTGCCAAATAAACGATTATGAATTTTCATGTAGATTAATTACAGCAAAAAGCAAGGTAGCTCCTGTGCGGCCAGTTACTCTACCTAGGTTGGAGTTGACTGCTGCTGCCCTAGGTTGTAAATTAGCAGAAAAGGTTAAAACATCTTTAAATATAAATTTTGACAAATGCTTTTATTGGAGCGATTCAACAATCACCCTGTGTTGGATTAAGGGTTCTCCCGAGCGATGGAAAAAGTTTGTATCAAGCAGAGTAGGTTATATTCAAAATAAGAATAATGTAAAAGATTGGTTTCATGTTAGGTCACAGGATAATCCTGCGGATTTAATATCTCGCGGTATTCCTGCAGAATCTCTTATCGATAATTCTTTTTGGTTTGAAGGGCCTCAGTGGTTAAAATCTTCTAGTTTTTGTTGGCCAAAAAATGAAGTAATCAGTGAGGAGGAAATTCCGGAACAAAAACTTCAAGTTAATTTAGTAGTTTTACCAAAAAATGATTTAAAATTATTCGATAAATATTCAACCTTGACAAAATTATTGCGTATTGTGGCTTTACTCCGACGATTTGCATCAAATGTAAGATGCAAAAAATCTGAGCGTTTGCTGAGCGAATTAGAGTCAAAGGAAATCAATGATGCATTAATTAATTTAGTAAAACTTTCTCAAGCACAATCCTTTCAAGCTGAAATCAATGATTTAAAAAATAAGGGATCAGTTAGTAACTCCAGTAAATTGTTATCACTTAATCCTTTCATGCACGATGGCGTAATGCGTGTAGGAGGAAGAATTCAGAAGGCAAATATACCATTCTCAAATAAACATCCAATTATTTTACACAATAATCATAAGTTGACTACTTTAATATTTATTAGGGAACATTGGCGATTGATGCATTGCGGCCCACAACAACTTTTATATTCAGTGCGCCAACATTTTTGGCCCTTATCAGGCAGAAATTTAGCCCGAAAGATAGTACATAGATGCGTTACTTGTTTTAAGGTCAAGCCTAAGCCGTGCAATTATCTAATGGGAAATTTACCGTCCCAAAGACTAAATCAATGTAGTCCATTTCTTAATACTGGGTGCGATTACGCTGGTTATTTTTTACTCAAGGATAGACAAACACGCGGCCATAAATTGATTAAGGCCTATGTCTGTATCTTTGTTTGTATGGCGACAAAGGCTGTGCATCTAGAGCCAGTCACAACTTTGAGTAGTGAGGCATTTTTGGCTACATTAAGGCGTTTTATAGCAAGACGGGGAAAACCTTTAAGCATTTTTTCAGACAACGGCACCAATTTCACTGGGGCTAATTCTGAACTTAAGACTTTTTTGAAAAGCAATTCTGATTTTGTAAAATGTAATTTGGCCAATGAGGGGGTGAAATGGCAGTTCATTCCTTCACGAGCACCACATTTCGGTGGACTCTGGGAAACCGGAGTAAAGAGCTTCAAGCAACATTTGAAACGCGTGGTCGGTAATACTCATTTAGACTTTGAAGACTTTACGACTGTACTACAGCAAATCGAAGCCGTGCTGAATTCACGACCACTCAGTCCATTATCATCAAGTCCAGATGATGTATGTCCTTTAACTCCTGGCCATTTTATTATTGGGAGACCGTTAGTCTCATAGCCAGATCCAGATGTTAGTGATATCAAGGAAAGCCGATTATCCACGTATCAACGACTTCAACAGATGACCCAGCACTTCTGGAATCGCTGGTACAAGGAGTACCTTTCAGAACTACAAGCTCGACAGAAATGGAAAAAGATGGGATCCAGTATTATTCAGACGGGAGACCTTGTCATTATCAAGGACGATAACTTACCACCTTTGCAATGGAAGCTTGCGCGGGTGAATCAGCTGTTCCCAGGTGAAGATGGAGTGACAAGAGTCGTTAGTGTGCGATTCGGTAATGGAACAATTGCCAAACGTGCTCTGACTAAAGTGTGTCCACTACCAATTTACAGTGATTTCAGTGAATTAACCAGTGCGGAATAATTAATCTGGCTAATTTGAAGCCTTGTTATTAGTTTTAGACCATTAGCTTTAAGCATTTGTTAGTAATTTTACAACATTAATTTAAGGCAATTTGAAGTTATGTTTTGCGTTATTATTTTTGAAATGTGTGTATTTCAAGGTCGGCGGAATGTTCATACCCAAAGGCCTAAATCAGAAAAAATAATTATTTTAATTTAAATGTCGCATTATCCTTGGCAATATCTTGGTTCCAAGTCGTCCGCAATTGGCAGCGCCAACCAAGGATTGAGCGCGCGCGACAAGGATAGTCATTCGGTTCTGTAGAGTTCAACAGTAAACATTACCTTTTTGTTTGTAACGAATACTTCCTAGTTTGTACAATAAACCATCAAAATAAAAGTTTACCATCTTATTTATTCAGCAACTTATACAGTCCACTATCAACCAAATACAAGTAGTGAAGCTTTCCACAATTTTTTTTAACAAAACAATTCCAAAAATTTGCTTTTGCTATCATTTCACAATTGTTGTAAATACCTACATACATTGTAACGATAGATAATTGTTGATGTAGAAAGATTTCCAAATGTAACAAAACGGCCTAAAAATCCCTTTTTTTTCGTAATTCAATTAATTGGCTTATCCACCCAGTTAGATTAAATCACCAAATTTCTAACGAAACCGTGTCAAGAGCCCGGGTTATCAGTCGGCTTCCGAAAGAGTGTGATGATGTCTCAAAACACGAACCTTGACCCCCGGTTCCTTGAAAATATCGCATGTTTCGCGACCGATGAGAATCCTAAAAGCGTCATCAAGCTGCCAATATAAACAGGCTCGCGAGCCTCCTAAATGTATTCAGTTCTGTAGTAAAGTTCTGGTGTTTAGTGTTGACGTCTTTCTGCCGACTCTCTCTCCGAGACTTTAGTTAATGTTTCAATTTCAAGTATTTTAATTTATTCATCATGATTGTTGTTTTCTGTCTATTATTTATTTTCTCCCCTGTGTAAAGAACATAACCGTTGGATAAGCTTTAAAACTCAAATCCCTTTTCTTACATGTATCCTACCCAGAATAACAAGGCCGTTTTGTCATTCCCTTGTCGAGGATGCCCATGACTTTTTACCCACGAAGAATTTTAACCTAGTCTTTATTTTCTGTATGTTTCACTTAATCCTTAATTTTTCATGTAACTTGTACCATCAAAAGCGCTTTATACAGGACGCTCATTAAGGGTGTTCGATACTTTTTTTCTTTCTATACTGTTCAATGCAATTCTATTTCCCACACATCTCAAAAACTATACGTTGGAATTTATTTATTTTTCTCCAGATGATTATATTGATAAAGATGTATAGAGTAACGTTTTTTTTTTTTTTTAATTATCTTGTGTGAAAAAATTTGTTTTGAAAATACGGAATTCTATTTCTGTTTATTTCTTATTAATAACCATCAAAACTGTATTTTTAAGCCACGTAGAGTTGCATAGTAATGGGTCTATTTCGTAGTAAACTCCCTAAAAATTGATTATACGCATTAATTATTAAGTTTTGAACGAAATTAAGTTAACCGTTCCGCCCCTCATCAAGCCCCGCCCTCAACTACCCAGAGACCACCCGCACCCGACGGGACAGCTAGTTAGTCGGCAGTACTTCGCAAACTTTCGAAATAGTGACATTTTGTGAGTTTGTGAAACTTTATTATTCCAGTGTTTTTATTTGGTGACATTTTTTCCGAGATGGCTAAGTCTAAAAAGTGTGCATCAAAAGTGTTGAAGAAATCGGCTAGATCAGTAGCAATGCGAAGACTAAATCAATTGAGGCAAGTTATTTCTTAATGTTTAGTATTGATGATAAATGAAAATAACAAAGATAATAATACATCATTAATTTGTGATAAATTTATGTAGGTGGGCAGGGAAAGCCTCGACAGAACCAACCGAAAATTTACGCATTCCTTCTCCTGAAATCTTACCAGAATTGGAAAGAGAAGTTGATCTGACGTACAAATCAATCAAGCAATTATTACAAGGGCGTCGAATCGTAAATTTAGGTCACGTACTGCAAGAATATGAATACATAGTCAAACATCTGAGTCGATGCACTATGGGAAAGATGGCTTTTGTGAAGGAAACCAAAATTGGTTTGGATTCTAGACTTCACTTTTATTGTGATAATTGTGAAAAAACTTTCATAATTTGTACAGATCCTGACGAGAAAAATCAAGAAATAACTTCAACACAATCTGTTGTTTGGGCTAATTTGTCAATTGGCGACACACACACACATACATACACACACACACACACACACACACACACACACACACACACACACACACACACACACACACACACACACACACGCACACGCACACGCACACGCACACGCACACGCACACGCACACGCACACGCACACGCACACGCACACGCACACGCACACGCACACGCACACGCACACGCACACACACACGCACACGCACACGCACACGCACACGCACACGCACACGCACACGCACACACACACACATACCAAAACTATTTTTTAGATATATGGCATTAGTAGCTAAATGCACTGGAGGCAAACGAATTAATTTTTCTGGAAGTATTTCCTATACAACTAGAGCGTACGATGCTGCAATTTCCCATGCGAGTGGTCGTGGTCCAGCTTGGCATCTTGAAGCCTGGAGAGGCACAGTAGGAAAAACGACAAATAAAATCTTGGGACGTAAACAGCAGAAACACATGAATAGGAAAAATAAAGCAACACCTAGGAAAAAAAATACTAAAACAAGTGGACAATATGGCCCCGACGCAGCTCAACCTGACATATCAGATGCTGAAATGATTTCGCAGAAAAATTTGTTTCTGCAAAAATTAGGTGATAGAGTTTCTACGAAATTACTGGTTGACGAAATTGAAAAAAAAAACAAGAGGTCAACATGACAACAATTTGTGGAGGGAGCTCCGTCAAGACTACCTGACTGCCTCTAATTTCGACATTGTGATAAAAAGAAGAAAATCCACAGACTGTCATAATTTCATTAAAAATATGCTCTATAGAAAAAAAGAACTTCATACAGAGGCAATACTTTATGGGAGAATTAATGAAAAAACAGCCATTGTTAAATATGAGCAGATAAATAATGTAACAGTTGACAGGTGTGGATTATTTATAGATCCAAACCATCCGTTTTTAGGCGCCTCTCCAGATGGGCTAATTGGTGAAAAAGGAATAATCGAAGTGAAATGTCTGCCATCAATAAAGGGTAAACTGGTCGAGTCGGAGGTTCCTCACTGTTATTCAATCATTAATAATGAGATAACGTAAGTACTAACTAAACAAAGTGCAATTAACAAATAATTTAAATTATTTATTTTTTTTAGGTTGAAACAAAATCACAACTATTTTTATCAAGTACAGGGGCAGCTAAACATAACCAATCGAGATTTTTGTGATTTTGTTATATGCACTGATGACGACTTTCACATAGAAAGAATAAATATCGACAGGGAGTTATGGAGTACCACTATGTTGCCAAAACTAACAACATTTTATGTAAATTCCATATTACCGGAAATTGTTGATGGACGAGTACCAAGGGGATTGAAAGTTAGAGATCCCACAAAAGATCCCTAAACCTGTGTGTCGACCGTTTTCTTATTTCTAGTTTATGAAAAATATAGATTTTGTTTTAATTTTTGTTTCTTTTTTTTTATCTGTTGCTAATCTATCTGAACGTAAAAACCCGAGCTCTCAAATAACCCAATCACCAGGTAGCTAATAACACACTATTCATGTGAACCATAATTAATTATTTATGTCTATAAATCAAATATCATGTACCTATATTGACTGTGACATACAACTCAAAATGTAATTAAAATGTAGTTAAGTCCTAAGTTATTTCCAAATTCGAAAAAATAATAATTTTCAAATTCTAGAAAATAAAAGTGACTCTACCTAAAAATATTGATTATTGTAAAATTAGAATAGCCAAACAAGACCAAAATATTTAAAAGTAAAAGGTACTAGAGGTAGGTACCTGAATTAAACAATGGAAGGGCGGAGATTGCAGAGGCTGGATGTCGTTATAATGAAATTAAATAAATTTTGTATGTACAGACACCTAGCGGATTTCAGTGGTCCCTACAAGGTATCGAACGTCCTTAATTCCACTCCCTATCATACCAAAGCTCTGTATGTATTAAATTTTCTTTTATTTCATTTCTGTATAAATTGTTAATAACTTACTGTATTGTTTGCTTTTCTTCCATTTCCTTACCAAGTTTTACCATTTGTTCAATAAACCATTGTTAGAATTTAGTAAGAAAGATTTATTCTTTCATTTCCTTTGAAAAAACCCCGAGCTAGCATCTCAATTAGATTGCCTTTTTTAGTGCGGGTTCTTGCTACCTGAGGTGTACGCAGTTAACAGCTCAGGTAGCAAGAACCCGCACTGGAAAACGCAAGCTAATCAGATAACTAGAAAGTATCTGTTCAAAGTTACATAGATTTCCAGTGGGAATTTAAACAAAGTCCAAAGTCCCTGGGTCCTTATTCTTGAAACAGGGGAGTAGCGTTCCCAGGAGAACGAGTGATCCGTCTTTGTTAATTAGATTATCATTTGCATATCATTAAGAAAAACAGAACACTCGTTCTCCTGGGAACGGAGCTCCTCTGTTTCAAGAATGAGGACCCTGGTGGCACGCTACCGCAGTACAAAAAAGGCCTTCACCAGTGCTAAAACAAAGTCTCCTTTACCCAACCGTCACAATCACCACAAAAATGGTGGCAGCGGTGGGATGTTTTCTTTCAGAAAAGGGACGTACTGGTTCCACTGATTGAACACATTCAGCACCACAAGTTTTTTGAAAAAAAAAAAAAATGTCTTTCTTTTCCAAATAATAATTTCAAAGAAAATTATTATTTTTTTGATATCACATTCTGCTAGTTTGAAATTCTTATCATTCAATTACCGAAGTCAACCACGTCACGACAAGTTCTTTTTAACAATTTTATATATTAAATTAACCAGCTGCTGATAAATATAATGATCCGTCCAAGAAAAAAAATATTTCGACGAAACAATTCGTTATCATTTTTGGTAATTAAATTAACGACTGACCCTAGTGTCAGCCAGTGAACATTTTTGGACACGTGTGTTTGAGATTATTTTTCCGCTTTAATGTTTTATAATTTTCTGAATTATGCAATATTGAGTTGTTTACTAAAGGCTTATTTTCTGTGTCACACTGGAAAGCCTGAACTACAGTGTTCAGGGCTGGACAGTTAACGTGTCGTTTTCGCGCCGGAGGACCTTAACGCAAGTTATTGTTCAATGGTGAATCGTAATAAATTAAAAGTGGCGCTGAAAGCACAAACTGTAAGCAATTTAGCAATTCCTGACTTTCATATTGTTTATTCAATGTGTTTATCTTATCTATGCGTCATATTGAATAACTACAAGTGGCCTGCATTTATTAGGTTATGCAATGACCCTTTGGCGCATCGACCCGTGAAATGATAGAAATGACATATATGAAAGACATTTTTAGACTTAGACACAGTCGTAGGTTTTTCTAGAATCTCAGAGAAGAACAACCATGTGCCATATTAACACACCGTTAGTCGCCAGGTTTATAGAATAATATGAATTAAAATAAAATCCCAACTTCTTTTATTTAAAAATAAACATCGCCGGCCTTTCCTACAACTTCAGGTAGGGGGTCTACAGTCCAGGCTACAGTTTACAGTCTACACTCGGGGCTACAGCGAGTTCGAGCAGTCGAGTTTATAGTGAAAATTATGTTTTTGTGCAAAATTTTGATTTGCATGAAGTGACTTTTTTCTTTATTAACTTTCAGTAGCGATTATCCTATTTACAAAATAAAAATGGACGTGAACAGTGCCGGGAACTTGGAGAATTTTATGGCTGAGCGGCTAGTTCAGCAACAAAACAATAATACTAGTAATGCCGAGCAAGCACCACCGAATCCTGTGCAAGATCCAGGTCAATTGGTGAATGTGGAAATGTTGCAGTTGCAGCAGATTCAAGCCTCTACAGCCCCTTTTGCTACGGATCCCAATTTCTTTTATTTAAAAATAAACATCGCCGGCCTTTCTTACGAAACTTAGTTTGTGCTGGATGTTAACTCGTTTCTGAATATTAGCTTCGCGCCCGACATCATAATTTATCATGGCAAGAAGGTTACCGTTAGGGCCCAGAATAAGTGTAAATAAACCTGGAGCTGAACAATGCACAAATAAATATCCGGGACCAACACACCTATGTCAAATCTAGTTTTTTTGTTATCTGGCAGTCAAAAGTTTCCCTTTTTTTTTGTGTGGTAATTTTTATTTCTTTCTACCATGATAGCTACCAGAGTGCATACGTAATTAGTTTTCCTCGATAAACAAAAATGGCCTGACCCAATTTTCTCTTCTCGATTTCTCGACAAGCCGATCTGCACATTCGATCCAATTTTTCCCTTAGAACCGAAAAAATACTGCCAAAATTCAGTCCGAAGATTCAAGCCTCGAATCCGATACCCTGAGTGATTTGGAGTTCGAATTGCCATACGACCCAAACCGACAATATTATCTCGATTAGTCGATTACCCTGCATTCGGATAATCAATTCAGCAAAGCAGATGTGCCTTTAACTGGATCCGGCACTGGTGGTATGTCTACCATAATGGCGCAAATCAACTTGAATGGTACGCTAGATAGTTTAGATAGTTTTGGAGGACAAGAATATATTGTGGATTTCATAGACAATATCGAATTAATTGCCGATCTACAGGGCTCGGATGATGACAGTAAAGTGCGAATTTGTAAACAGACTCAGATGGCAAGCTAGAGCCCTGGTGAAAACCGTAAATAGCTGGACTTCGGCTGCATTGAAGAAAGCATTCTTCAATCACCCGATATTCTAGTCAGCTAACCGAATTTCAAGCTAGGCAACGATTCCAGAGTACCTACCAAAGATCAGGTGAATCGATCAAGGATTAAGGACTACTCTGCGAGAATCGAAAGAGCAGGACGACGTACGATGGAACCCTCGACTGATCCGCGGGCCGACTTAAGGTACGGTTTGTTAGGATAGTACGCGACGCGCAACTGACAACGTAAACGTCGTCATTGGTTCAGGTATGACGTTCACCCGTTTTCTGACGCTGAAGCTGACGTCTATGTTTTTAGATTCGACTATACAAATATCTTTTTCTCCGAATGACAGAAAAAGCGGCCTTTTAATGACACTTGACAGGATCAAAAGTTGTACTTTTAATGCCTAGGCAGTAAAAGTGGACTTTTACTGCCTACGCATTAAAAGTGACAGTGTCACAACGTTCCAGGTAATAATTTTACTCAATTTTGTATTTGAAATTGATGGTGACAATGACAATTGTCAAAATAATTTAATTATTTGGATAATAATAATGAATGAAATAAATAAAAAAAGATGTCCATGTGTGAATTTGAACACCTTACGGCATCGGGATTTTTTTTTTCTTGACTAAATCGGCCAAGAGAAATTGATGGAAATTATTATTATATTTCAAGTTTCTAAGATGGCCGCTAGGGGGCGCAGTAACGATGATATAACTAAAAATTCAAATTTTCTCGAAAAATCGCTATATTAAGGTACTGTTTTAACAACAGAAATCAAAAGTTCGTTAATTTTTGCGCCAGTTTGCTTTTTAGCCTTTTTTCGTATCTTCACTAATAAGGGTGGGGGAAGCTGGTGGAAAAATAGTTTTAAAAATTACTGTATCTTCCATACCCCTTATCCAAACTCATTCAATTTGGGCTTATTCGAAAGAGAATTTCATTGTTATTAAGAGCACCACTTTGTTCGGGGTCGATAGTTCCCACCGCGTCTTCTAGAGGGCGCTGTTTAACCAAGATCCAGTTTTTTTCTAATTTTCTGGAAAAATCCAAATGGCATGATATATTTTTTATAACTCTGCTTAAAGAGCAAAAAATTATCTACATTTTCGCGCAAACCGCAATCCGATATCTGCATTCGTTTTCAAGTTATTTGCAAATAACTATTTTAATCGAATATCTCCCTCCTGTCATTTTAAACCAATCAAAAAATCTCATTTTGTGGTCAAACATTATTTTCAATTGGAAAAATTTCATGACATGACATGAAAACAAAATAAAATACTCATAAATATTAATAAATTAATAAAAATTTATTGTTTTGCTCAGTAAGGAAACATTCTTAACAAAAACCACTCGTGCTTCTAATTTTTCCTGACGCAAAATCTAAAACTAACTTTTTACTGTGATATTTTATTTTATGTACCTACCTTGTTTTGAATGTCTAGGTTTTTAACTATACCAAGCCTTTGATTTATAATAGATTTATTTAGCCATGCACTTATTTAGGACTTAGAATTAAGATTGTATAGCTTTGTCAATAAGTTATTGTGACTTGGACAATAAAGCATATTTTCTTTCTTTCTTTCTTCCTTATTATCAGTTGATTTTTTATAAATACATAGTACAATTTTTTTTTCTTCAATAAATTCTTTTTATTTAACCAGGCTACCGTATAATAATTCAAATTCTAAAAACTAAATTGCTTAGGCCGTATAATAATTCAAGTTCTAGGAACTAAATTGCTTGGCTTAGGTACATTTTGTTGCAACTAGAAAAAGTATAGAATCTTTAAACCCCAGCAAATTCACTCGCAACCCGTTTCTTTTATTTTTTTTGTCCTGTAATTCAGTCCATCAAATACGCATTTGGATAGCGAGGTTTCTGAATTTCTGGCTCGTAGCAACTACTCAAAACAGGTGAAACATCCAAATCTTACATACATACTAAATTTCAAATATTTCAGTGGACCAATTTATATTGTAGCCCTCACTAAAAACACCTTCATGTTTGCTTATCTGCACAATTTCGCCAACTTTGTATTTGACTTTTTTGGAGCAATTTTTGACAAGTTGAAAATAGTAAATTTCGTCTGTGGATTAACTTGAATTGGTTTCATTCCAATTGATCTATGCCCGGTATCACTGTATTTTCTCGGCACTCTCGCTAATATCAAGACCCATTCATACCGTACATAATATTTCAGACCAAAGATATAAATCTATTATGCAGGTACTATTCCTAAAAACTACTCCAAAAATAGGTTATTATTAAAGGCATGAAATTATCCACCACCAAAAGTGTATAACAGCGACTTTCTTTTCGAAATGAAACATAACTTTGATAGAGTTGATACTGTTTACAATGCCAGTACCCACCAAGTATACATCCCCAGATGTAAGGGTGAAACTGATTTACCCAATCGACTTTGTTTGGCCTGCGAATTTTTAAAATTTATTGGAGAAAAAAGGATACCGTCTAATTATTTTGCACAACCCGAAAGTAAAACTTAATTTATGTAGTATTATTTTCAATAAATCGATTATCAATGTATTTATTCTGTGTTTTAATATAATTTTCCTATCTATATCGTAAAAAAAAATAAGAAAAAAAAAATTGTATCAAGAGTATATAAACCGACCACTTTTAATATTAGTCACAGTGATATTCGAACTAGCGCTTTGACTAGTAACTACATAAAAAAATGAATAATTATTTATATCAATATACTCCAGTAATTTGTAAAATCTGTTCCGTATTAGATTTTACAAATTACTGGAGTATATTGATATAAATAATTATTCATCTGTTCCGTATTAAAGCTGCTGCCTTGTAGCTGGATGTTGAATCATCAAAGACTAGAGGAAGACAACCTTGATCACAAATTACCTGGTCCTCCTGGTAGGGGGTTGAGGCATCGGGCTAACTCCCCGTTACTCGGAAAAAAAATTAAACTGTTAAAAGACCCAATCAACAGCCTCGGAACAGAACTGAAAAACGAAGACGAACTAGGTAACGGAAACGGACAATGAGTATCGGTACATGGAACGTCCAAGGAATCTCTAGAAAATTGAATGAAGTGATATCAGAGATAAAATATCAAAAAATGGATCTGCTGGTCGCCACAGAGACCAAAAAGAAAGGACAGGGCTCAGAAAATCTGGGAGAGTACGATCATTTCTTTAGCGGGGTTCAAAAAGAACTCAGAGCGAAGAAAGGAGTCTCGATCTTCATACATAGAAAATGGAGAAAACATATAACATCATGGGAAGCAGTAAACGAAACCATAATAAAACTAAATGTATGTATGTTCGGAAGGAAAATAACAATCTTGGGAATATATGGAGTGAACGACGATGAACCCGTTAATATAAAGGATCAATTTTACCAACAACTCAGTGACCAAATCATAAAAGTAGGAACTTCAAGGGAAATAATTTTGCTGGGAGACTTTAACGGACGAACAGGACGAAAAATCAACGACAAGGTGATCGGAAAATTCGGAGAGAATGTAAAAAGAATACCTGGTAGACAGATACAATTCCGGATCAAAGATGTCTACCAGATGAAGAATACGGGGCAGGACAACCCCTTGTACCTGGTTGTCACCTCAGCAGAATGCACACTGACAAAGCTCAGAAGCAATATACGTACAGTGTTCGCATCCAGGGTACAATGTGAAGACCGGAAAAATAGGAAAGACATCTCGCATTGTGTCCGGTGTCAGATATGGGGGCACACTATGACGGGATGTCATAGGGCGAGCCGATGCTCAAAATGCGCAGGAGCGCACATGACTGCTGCCCAAATCGTGATAAGCAGTCAGTGTGCGCAAACTGCAAGGGTGCACACCGGGCAGTGACTCTATCCCCGGAAGCAAGATACCTCGGCATCATATTCGATCAGGGAATGAAATTCCACCATCACGTTTCCCACGCTCTAGCTCGCACCTTCAGTGCGCAGCAAAAACTTTACTCCCTCATCGGTCCCAACTCCGCCCTTTCGCCAGGTAATAAGTTTTTGATATACAAACAGGTCTTGAGACCAATGTTAACCTATGGGGCCCATGTCTGGAACATTATCTCAACCACACAAAGGAACCGCCTTCAGCGGTTCCAAAACCGCATTCTGAGGGGAGTCCTGTCGGAGTCCAGGTACGCCAGAATAAGGGACATGCATGCGGAAGCATCCATTCCTTATAGTTTTACCGCCATCAAATTCAAGGATCCCCTCTCACACGCAGCCTAACTGCAAAAACATATGATCCAGACAACCCCATAGTTCACGGACCGCCTTACAAGAATTTACCCATATATTTTGAACCCCCATGAAACCTTCCCCATCCCAAACCTGCAAACCACACACCCAAATTGAATAAAACAACCCATTCATGCACAGCTAAAATCAAATCGCCGAGACAAAATTAGACAAGAGAGATTTGGCGCTGGCGAATCTAGTCATAAGGTCTAATTTCAATTCTCAGTTCTTCGGAAAATTCCAACTGGCCAGCGAACTAGTCTGTAACAAACTCCTCTCTCGCTGACTATGAGGAAACGTACTTGTCTAATTACCATCAAAACACCCCCAATTCGACCAACAATTATAGGCAAAAATTGCCCAATTTAGCTGATAAATGCTCATCCCAATCCTGGTAAATTCTTGCACCCAATCCTCCCAACCCTCATTCTCTGACCACCCTTAAAACACCTACCCCTTGAGCTCAGCTTTTGCTGTTGAGAGCGCGTCCTGGACCAAACCGCCCATAAGGGCACAACTTTTTTGTTTTTTGTTTTTTATAAAATTATTAAGTTAATGAAAAGTGGGGTTTTTAACTCTTTTTTCCCCCAAACGACGGGCGCTGCGTGTTCTGCACTCCAAACTTCGGCATCCACCCACATCATCTGGTAGGTCAGTGTAATGGCCCAATGCTTACCATACAATACAATTATCATTATTATTATTTTTGTATAATTTCAGCCTGCCTATTTAATGAACAGTTGGGAGTTCGCGTTTACAGACTATGCTTGATTTAAATATCCAACTGCTTCCAATATTAGACGATGCACACTATTACGAATCAAAATAAACCAACTTGACACAACATGTGGTATAAAACTTTCGAGATTGTTTATTTATAATTTTTTTCAATCCTTTTTCTTTTTTTCTAGCCACGCATTAGCTATGAAATACCAAACAAGAGGAAGTTTGAAGAAATGAAAAAATCCATAGTTACCTATCGTACAGACAAATGCTTCAATAATTATCAAAGCCAACCATGGGATGAGGAGGGCTATATGAAAATGGAAGAGGACACACTGCGAGATGGAAGACATGGCTAAAGCTGAAAACTATGATGCAGCTACAAGGAAATATTGGGACCGCATTCAAGCTGAAACCAACTACAATACTACTCACTTCAATCAATACAATAATGTTCAGAATATCAATAAAAGATTTAAAACCACTCTAGTGTTGTTGTCTGTAGAAGGTGATGTCAAATCTGCAAAATGTGTTTCTGTTACTGTAAAAAGTCAATCTAATCTAGTCAACTGGCAAAATATAATGCACTACCAGGCTGTAACATCGATATTTGTTTATGGAATGCGGTCTCACGTTGAAGTCAAATAAGATGCCAGTACCGATCAAGCATAAATGTCCTCGGATGTACCCAATCGACCGTGTATTCCCTGCAGCTGGGACTTGGAATATTCGAAATTCACAGGAGGAAAAAGGATACCATGCAAATTTTTTGAAGAACCCTGGAAGTAAAACCTAATTTATGTAGTACTATTTTTAATAAATCGATTATTATCAACGTGTTTATTTTGTGTTTTATTATAATTTTCCTATCTATATCATAAAAAAAGAAAATAAGAAAAAAATGTATTGTATCAAGAGTATATAAACCGACCAATATTAATATTAGTCACAGTGATATTCGAACTAGCGCTTTGACTGGTACCAACATTAGAAATGAATAATTATTTATATCAATATACTGTATTAGATTGTCTTAGGCTTAATAATTTAAGAATAAGTATTGCTTCATATACTTGTGATGTCTGCAGAAAAACAAGTAAAGGAACAAAAATGTCAAAACTTCTCAAAGGCAACGATTCAAAAATGATGATTCGTCGATTGAACGATCGTCTACATTTCAAAAACTGCAACACCGAATCACAAAAATTGGAATATCTACTTTTGTTTTTTTTTCCATGATAATGTACAGTTTATGTATCAATAAATAAAACTTATATTTTTTTGCCTTTTATTATTTCCTCTAAACTGCTAGGCTAGGCTATCTAGACATCTAGTGCCCCTAGTACCCTAAGGGTAGTTTCCAAGGGGGTAGTGGCCCAGTATCCCGCGTCCTATACTACTCTTACAGTGTAAAGTCGTTCGTTATAGTTACAAAGCAGGTGAGTTGAGTGAGGTTTCCACATATTTCCCATTGTCAATTCATTAACTTATTTATTGTATTTTTTTTTCGACTTATTGTCAATCGCCAAACAATTTTCCATTTTATTTCCACTTATTGTCAATTACCAACTTATTAGCTCATAAATCCTTTGTTATGACTTTCAGTCATTTTGTCTACAGTTTCGCTACTTTACCTATTCTTATTATATAAACCGTTCAATTGAGTCTTTCACTGTTGAAACCCTGATATTTTACAAAGCCCATTTGTACTACTCTGTCGAGGCTGTTCTCTAGCATTAATTGTAGATTATAACTAGCATAATTGATCGCTTATCGCGAACATGGTTTACCTGTACACCTATTTTCTCCGTTTTATTCTACATTCGAATTCAGTAGTCATCTACCTTACTCTTGTATTATTATAAGCCTATTCTTTTATTGTACCTATTCTTTATTTCAATAACATCGTTTTACTGATTTTCCATTGATTTTACTTGATAGGTATATTATCTATAATAAATTCCATATGAATCTTTAGCGTATAAGAATGCTTCTTTGACTTATTCTGACAACCGATTCCTCTCAAAACAGTTAGAACCCACCTAGGGCTGTACGGGTAGCAAAAACCCGGACTAATATGGGCAGCCGAATCAGTTACATAAAAGTAACCTGTTGTGATTTACTGAGATTTTTAGTGGGACTTTAATAATAGCCTCTGGTGGCACGCTACCATAGTACGAGAAAATGCCTTTATTAGTTCTAAGACAAAGTCTCCCTTACTCGACCGTCACATTCAGGTGGCGGCGGTAACAAAATGGTGGCAGCGGTGGGATGTTTTCTTTCCGAAAAGGGACGTACTGGTTCCTCTGATTGAACACATTCGGCACCACAAGTTTTGAAAAACACAAATTGTACTTTTTGTTTTCCAACTGTAAAAATTCAATTAAATAATTCTAAAGAAAATTATTATCATTTTTTTGATATCATATTCGGCTATTTTAAAATTTCTTATCATTCAAATGCCAAAGTCAATCACGTCACGACAAGTTCAAGTTCTTTTTAACGATATCATTTCACCAGCGGCGGATAAATACAAACGATTCATCGGAGCAAAAATCAATGAAAACAATTCGTTATCAATTTTTATTTTTTTTTGGTAATTAAATTAAAGACTGACCCCAGAGTGAACTACCAGTGAGCATATTCGGGTACATGTGGTTAGATCATCCTTTTTGTTTTATCCGCTTTGATATGTTATGTTATAATTTTACAATATGAAGTGTTTACTAAGGGCTATTTCTCGCAAATAAGCCCAACTATAAACAAATCATGCAAATCTAGTTTTATTCAAAATCTGTTAATTTCACAAAGCAGCAATGGCAACGAAAGAGCAGTAAAATTTGGCCATTTCGAAAATCGACAAGAAGATAGCAAACCGAGAGGAATTACTAGAGCTGCCGAGTGCGTGCGTAATTGGTTGTTTAACTCCTGAATTTCCTGTTTCCTGATATTTTTCTGTCTTTAGAATGTCCTCGAAAAATCTCCTGCCCGTACCCATAGATAACTCTTGGGACGAGGATCCGCCATGCCCCATTTAGGACCCAATGCCTTATGTCTTGGCAAACAATTAACCATTGCCTGCCGCCAAAAATGTCAAAGGGGGCCAAGAAACGATTTCGCGAACAGGAGCGACTCAGGCACCAAGCACTTGCGGATGCTTCCAACGTTCAAGCCAGTAACAATACTTCAATACCGGCAGAGGGAGATAAAATCTTTTACGCAAATAAATATCCTACCATGCCCCTGTTCCGAACCCAACCGATTTTCTTCATTCAATAAAGCCCTACTTTTGCAGATCAGCCTGATCTGTTCAAAATTGAGTCAGAGAGCACAATCCCCGTCGAAAAAACCGATTTTCTGCAGTGCTTTTACCACCTCGACTTTGAGGATATTCCTTTCCCAGACGAGAATTTTAGCGGATCTATCATGAATTCCCCCGACTCGCAAGCCATTACAAACGGACCGAACTTGAATGGTGTAATAGGGGAAATCGAAAGATCCTCACGCCAAGGGAATATACATGACTTCCTTAGAGGTCTCGAACTAGCCGGAAAACTTGATTCATGGGACGACGACACAAAAGTGACAGTATGCATGTTGAAATTGCGTGGACGAGCCAATGAAGCAGTAGACCAGAATCAACCCTGGACATGGCACGCTCTGAAACAACGCCTAGTTACCCAGTTTTCGGTAAAGGTGACCGATCACCAAGCGATGCCATGCGATGTCAAAAAGCAGGAGAGAGTATACGGGATTATGCAGCTCGAATCGAGCAGGCAGGAGGCAAGACTCTGGAGAAATCCAGCGCCCCAGCGGACGTTGACATACATACAGCGAGCATTGAAAAGGGCACTGCACTGCCAGTTCTTGGATGGTATGCATACGTCCGAGACCGAGTAGGGAAACAATCGTACACGCTATTATTAATAATCAGCCATGCCTTCTTCTCATAGATACCGAAGCCTCTGTATCGCTCACCAAGCACTGCTTAATCGAAAAACTGTCTGACACACCGAGACCCCTACAGGAAATGATTGACGTACAAGAGAAATTATAACCGTTAGTAGGATATACCGAATTAACACACACATTAGAAAAATTCATAATCAAACACGAGTTCATGGTCGTTTCCAATGAATTTCCTATTATACACCAGGGTATACTAGGAGCCGATTTTCTGGAAGAGCACTGAATCAATATACTATTTGAAGAGGACCCCAGCGTCCTAAAAATCGAGGATTCTGCGAAACCCGGGAAAACACAGAAAAACCGAAGCCGATGACTTCGAATGATAGAAGCCAGACAACATCTAAGGATAAACCGGGGATAGAGCCGTTACATGTCGCCAACCGAGATAAAGCAGTCGAATTAATCTAAAATGCCGAGGATGCATCCATTTGGGGCCCCATCCAAGCCGAGAGCGTAGGGGATGATCCAACTTTCCCTGTTAAATTAACCGAAACTGTGACAATACCTGCCCGTAGTGGACTACTCGCGTCAAAGTTTACAAAACTGCTACTCTTATGGTACCAGTATAAGTTGCCGCACTCGATGAAAATCGTTAAATTCCATTTCACCGCCCCGCATCCCTCATAGTTCGCTTCAGTTCTCAGTCGCCTACACAGTGTCTCAGACTCGCGCTGTGTATTGGAGTCAGATTGTTATAGCCGGTGGTCAGGTTAAAAAGCAGAATTTTTGTGAAGTAGTGTTGAGTTTTTTTTAATGAATATGGTGTTGTGTGCAGTGGATATTTGTACTTCTACTAACCGAGACAGTGGTTTATCGTTTTTTCGTTGTCCGTTGTACAACCTCAAAGGTATATACAAATATATAAGTTATTTTTGAAAAAAAAAAATCATTTTCAATGCATCTGCAAGTAGTGTAATTGGTAAATTTCATTTATTATAATATAAACATATTCGTTAAAGTGTTGCTGGATGAACTTGAATGTAGTTACATAACTTTACCAATAAACCAATACTGTAGATAAATAGAAAAGTTTCGCCAGTCTCCAATATCTAAATGCCTCCAGCAAACTTACAATCGTATTTTGGGATGTTTTATTAATATACATTCGTAAATCTAGCTTTTGACGCGTGCCATATTTTCCACAAAAAAAAAAGCATACGTATTTTCTGCGTTTTGGAAACAATAGGCAAGTCGCTCTGTGAAAATTCTCTTTCCACGTCGTTTTTTTTTCCAATTGAATAATTAGTAGAGAATGTAAAATGTCCATTTGTCTACAGATGCGAAAAATGGAAAAGTCAATTGCAGGTTATTGGGGGCCATTGTTTTGCTAATATTAGTCCAGAAGATTGCCATGTTCGAATAAGAGTTTGTAGCCTGAATTTTACGGAGCAATGTTTTATGGGCTCAAAACAACGTCTCACTTTCAATGCAGTCCCTACACTGTTTTTGTCAAGAGCAGCAAAGAGTAAGTTTACTTTTTTACATTATCATGAAACCCAACATGCTTCTATTATGCAATAAAATACTTAGTTAGCTTCGAGGATTTTTGTTTGCAATGGTCAATCTTGAATCTACTTCAATTCAACAAATAATTTTTTCACGTATAAATTAATTCTGAAGAACGGTTCAACAGATAAAATGCACTTAAAAAAAATGTACGCATTAAATAAAACCTAACAATACAGACTTGCCCCGAAACTATCTAATGATCACATATAAACAAACAATTTTCAAAAAATGAAAGTGAAATTGGCAACTCAGGTATTTAGTCATTTAGTAGCAGTCGCGATGTCTACCTACATTGATTTCAAAGCTTTTCCGGAAGAAGCAAGAACTACCGCTGAATTCATAGGAAATATGAATGCTTTTTTCGATCTCCCTAATTGAAATACTTTGGAAAATTTTGGAGCATCCATGGGAACTGAGAAGCAAATAACTATTTTGGAACAAATGCATGAATTATTTGAAAATTTGAGAGTAGAAAATAGTGAGGGAAGGAAGAAATGTGACAAAAAAAATAAAATTCATATTTGGTTGGAGATTGACCATCAAGGCTTTCAGCATTTTAGTTAAAAAACTCCGGACAAAAGGATACAAATACTTGTTTACAAGAAATATCAACTAGGAATGCCTGGAAATTTTCATCGGACAAGTTATAAGTTCATTGGAGCGGAATCAGTCAAGAAAGCCTAGATATCTGTAATGTGAGACATGTAGCGTCTATCCAACCCATTGTGACGATTATAGACAAGAGAAACGTGGGCAACGTGCAACGTCAGTCCCGAGGAACATAAAAAACTAGTTGAATTAGACACAGAATACGCCGATATCTCGATATATCGAACAAATTGACGATATGAACCATATGCTGCAGAATTGAGTAGCCCCGATATTAAACAAAACTATTCAAGTTCGCGTGTCAGTTTAAATTCTCCTGTCCCTGAAACCCTAAGTTCACCAGAAATACCGGATCCGTCTCATGTATTCAAAACCCCCGAGGCACAAGCTCCTAGTCCCCGATCACGAACCTTGTCTACTGAAACTGAAACCTCCCATAAGACTTTTAGTTCCGAGAGCGCACCAGAATTCCAAACTGAATCACTGGACGCGTTCTCTTTATGAACCCAAACTAAAAGTAATCCTTCCAGTCCAAACTAAATAACCAGAGAGCCACTTAGCACTCCACCACAGCCGCAACCCACTCCAGTAAAAACCCGCAGCCAAGGAACGAATATGAGGACCGACCTAATGATTTTAATCACACTCATCATCACAACAACTAGACGCGACCCAGATTTCAACCAAAACCTGTCACAAGTAGTACTCTTCACCAAGAAAGCTAATGATTACTCTAAATGATTACCTCAATCTAGCGTTCCTCGTAAAACAACAAATGGAGGTCCGCGACCTAGTTAGCGCACAATCAGGTTACCAAAGGACCTTCCTGAAGGAGGAACACCAGTTAATGATGAAAAGAATTGACCACATCGTAGCAACTACTAAAGGTATCATCGATACTACAGACCATCAACGTTTTAAAAGAGGCATGATCAATGTCGGTGGCACCGTAATCAAATTTCTGTTTGGCAACCCAGATGCCAACGCCAACGACGTCGAAAGAATCGAACGGCAATTCGATGGAATGCAAGCTGTCAACGTAGAGATAGTTCATTCGCTTAAAGCTCAAGCAACTATGTTGAATAAAACATATCAGATGCTAAAAGTAAATACCAAAACTCCCAAGGAAGTATCTCTCGTCACACAGGATTTACAACGAGACATCCAAAAGTTGCAGTCCGACCTCACACAGAGTACCAAGAACAGTTTTAAGTTAATCGACACAAGTTTTTCCATTGACGCCAATTTCCGAATGCTAGGTTCTGTAATCACATCTATCAAACACAATGTTAACCAACTGGAAATAGCATTGGACACAGTAGCCCAGAGCAGACTGAGCAATGCCATCATTAGTGCCCTTAAACTAAAGGAGACACTAGCAATTGTTGAAGACCAGCTTCCCAACAACTACGCTTTCCTCCACGCCGTACGAATGGTAGATATTCATAATCTCTATACTACTGCCAATACCTATGCTGTATCCTTTGGTGGAACCATCCGCATCCTTGTAGAGTTTCCTCTCAATCAGTGTTGCTACAGGCTCTGAAAATTTCGTGCTAGACTATATTTTTAAAAGGGGTCAGATTGAAAAATGAGAATTTCGGGCCAGCCGCTCTCAAATGTAACAGAAGAGAGAAAGCCCGCCGGAGGCAGACAATTTTTTCGGCTGCCACGCCCAAAAAAGTTTATTTTACATTTAAAAAAAAATGATTTGGCTTGTTATGGAGAAACGGGCCAGATTCGAAAAAGGGTGGCCAACGGGCCACTCCGTCTTAGAAAGGGCCAGATCTGGCCAAATGGGGCCACCTGTGGCAACACTGCTCTCAATACCTTAGGCAGATTCTTCACATTGTACTTGATAATTTCTTTTCCTTTCTTAAAGCCTAAAGTCAACGCATCCATTTTCCTTACCACCACTTATTCCCTACTAGCCGTCCACAATGAGATGAAATATCACGAGTTAGCATAATGCCGAGGAAAGACCCTTAAGATCTGTTCACCGCTGAAACCCAAACTCAGCATCTACCAGTCACCAGTTGTAGCATGGCCTTGTTCAGAGGAGAAACAAAGACTGTCGCACAAATATGCCAGAAGACTAGCTCCACCATTCCAACAGAGACTTTCCACCGTGTCGACGGTGCCGACGGACATAACCGGTGGGCATACAGCCTCAGTTGTCCCCTTAAAACAGTGATACAGTGCCTAAACAGAAACAATCATAGTTCCAAGAACTACGAGAGCCGTACCGTCCAGTACTTCCAAGGCAGTGGACTGCTTCCGTTGGACAAATATTGCTACGCCCAGATTGAAGGCAGAACATTATTGCCTCACAGTGAGGAAATGACAACAGTTAATACTACGCTAGAAAAGTTTCATTTTCCCACCCACATGACTGTAAATAACAAAGCCGAACCATCCGACGATCATCTGGAAGAACAAATCCTTTAATTAATGAAAGATTTCAAGGGACACGAGTTCACCACGACCGATCTAGAACTTCAAAATATCCATGCCATGAATGATAGCATTCGTGTCTTCCCGTCCATGGTAGACACGCCAATATGGTTGAACGTTGGTATGATGAGTATTATCATTATCGTTATCGCTTTCCTCGGACTAACCGTATACTGCCAGATTGAATTAGTCCGTCAAAGGGACTCTACCCGTCAGCTGCGACGGCCATTACAGATATCCCCGTACAGTGGTGTCAGTGCCGGCAGCATTGAATACGTGGACATGATCAGATACCAGGATATCGACCACCTTCCACAGGTCCGATATCACAACCTACCAGAAACCGGATAAGTTGGTCCTCGAGTTCCAGTCAACCAGTACAGTACGAACACCCTCGTACCACCGCGGTAGCTCCTAGGAGAAAACATTCACCCCCTCTCAAGGAGGGGGTAATGTAACAAACCGGCCTAAAGGTCCTTTTTTGTTTCGTAATACAATAGGGTACTTGCATCGAAAATTAAATTGATTATTGTTTATTGCAAACTGTAGGAAATCGAAAAAAAATAGTTACTTTTTTCAAATTTCGCCCAAATATGCCAGACGTCACTAATTTATATTTAAACCAATGAATTATGGCGACATTCGGTAAAGTTAAATTATTGTATCTTCTGTTTCAAGCCAGTACTTTGTAGGTATTCAAAAAAAACAAAATTCCACAGTCTATGTGTCATCGAAAGAAATGCGGGAAAAAAAAACAACCTAGAGGGGACGCAACGCATTCCTCTGTTGAAGATTTTTGAAGGTCAGTTAGTTTTGAGCCCTTTGTGTGACTGCATGTTCACAAGTGCAAAATTTGTCAAAAGATAGAACTCTCTCTCTCGCTCCCTCGCTCACGTAGTTTTTACTCGCACTTGGTAACTTAAAGTACCTAAATCAAGTTTTGATAAAAGTTGAAATCAAGTTTTCACATACGAAAATTTAAACTTTACACTAAGATTATTTGTCTCCAACGAAGAGGGTTTAAGTGGCATGAGTACAGCTTGTCAAAAATAGGAAGGCATATGAAAAATTTGCTGCTTGCGCGAAAACGAGAAAGAGAACGCATTCGGAGGAGAAGAGATGCATGATGCGCTCGACCACCTCGCCTGTTTCATATGGTACACTCCGATGAAATATAATTTTTTTTGAATTTATATTGGATGATAATGGCCAATGGGTACGAATTCTTGTGTATTGTTATTTGGATAAAATATATTTGTGTTTATAATCACGAATTGATAATGAAAATGTTAGTTTAAAGTTCAGTAATAGTAATTAGACACATTTTTCTGCGATTGACAAGAAATGTCAGCATTTTTGACCGGTTGACAGGTCGCAAAACTCAATATTCTGGTATTTCAATTATGTTTCAATAGTTGCTAAGGAATCAATGAATAACAATATGGGAAACACTTTTCCGGCCTAGGCCGGGAAAGTGATTTTCGTATTGCTGAATAATTGGAACTAAAAAAAAACATTTAACTGGTATTTAACCGATCGCAGAAAAAATAGTATGTGTATTTCAGTGGAAAAGCACATTCTTGAACTTCGGTGTTTGCCGGCCTCGGCTACGCCTTGCCCGTCAACTTACACCGTCGGCCGAGAATGTGTCACTTTTCCACCTAAATACACAATATACTATTATTGTACAGTCAACAACTAAAGTAATGTCCCTCGATGTGCGGCATCCTACTTCATTGCTACACAACGTGGCAACGGCGCTGCGCGTAAATGTTCACATTATTAAAATCCTTCCGATTTTTCATTGTTTGATTGTTTGGTGGATACGTATTTTTTTATATAGGATGCATTTTATTCAGTGTATAATGTTAAAGTAGAAAAGCGGATGCTGATAATATTCACTTGCAAGTAAAATAATGAACTAAACTTTTTTAATACCTACTTGCGGTGGGGACAACAAAAGGTTAGGATACTAAAGAGGCTCAATATATCTCAAACATTCTGCAACTTCATTGCTTTTGCAGTTTTCAAAATGCCCTCTGAGAAACTAAAATGTTATTAGTTTTGCATTACTTTACTAACCCATACCTATAAGTGATTACACTTTATTAAACTTAAACGGTCGCAATAAGGGCACATCCAATTAATTTTTTATCCAAATTTTATTGAATATTATTTCAATAAAAAAATTATTTATTAATTGCTATTCAATTTGACAATAACAACTCAAGTGGGTAGGTATACTTACCTATGTATTAAATAGTTTAAATAATTATTATGCACGAACGGGCGTAATAGTACACTTTTACGCCCGCATTTCATAGCGTACTTTTACGCCCTAGGGCGCCTTTTATGCCCGCGGGCCTGAAAGTTCTAAAATTCCCAAAATAAGCAAAAAATTCGACGTCATTTTTTTTTAGTTTTTGCATTCCCATTGCTTAGTCCAAAAAATACCAAATTTTGTTCAACAAAACAAGCTTTATTTCAAATAATAAGAATAATGAAACAAGCAATAATAAAACTCAATCTAGTTTAAAATTGAAAATAAAATTTTTACAGTTTTTCAATTTTTATAACCGACCTTTTTTCACAGAAAAACACAAAAGAACTGCTTTCTTGGTCTAAATTTGACAAAAACTCGTCCTATTATGAGGTAAAGATGAAAATTTATATTTTGAAATATTTTTGATTGATGTCATTACAAAATTAAAAATATATAATTTTTTAAATATCGAAATGAAAACATGCTCATCGTGCATAAAATCTTGTATGCACCTCGGTCAAAAACAGCTTTAACGTCCTCACCGTGTAAACAGTTCTCGGCTAACGCCTCAGGCTGTAACACACGCTGCGGACGTTAAAGCTGTACTTTTTGACCTAGGTGCATAAATAACTATTATGAAAGTCAAGATATGTCAAAACGAAACAACTTTTAATTTTATGTGCATATTTTACAACGAAAACTAGGTGATATAAAGCAAAGTGAATAGTGAAACTCGGTATAGGTCAAAAGAAAATTACGAACAACACATTGTGTAAACGATAGCCATTTTTGGTGTCGAATCCAGTTTTTAGAATAAAAAAAAAACAATTCAGTTGACAAAAAACTGAAATATACCTGGTGGACTTGTGTCAAAATATAAAAAAAAATCAATTGAAAAAGATGGCAACTGCCCTTTCCATACGGTAAGCCAATACCTTAGGTCTAAAGATACCTATATTGATCACAGTATATTGAAAAAAAAGTCCGTGAACTATGTTGTGCAACACTGGGACGATTTAGTACCTTTTTTACATAATAAAACCTTATAGACTGTGAGATAGGGGCTGTTTAGTGGAGTCATTTTTTTTTTTTGTCTGGCATTTTGAGGGCTGAATGTGGCTACTAAGCTGATGAGAATATGGTTGATTTTAATGCCTGCCTCCCGTTCGAAAATTTGTAGAAGAAAAAAATTGACTTACATGAAGATTTTTTTTTAATGATCTCAAATTTTCTGGCTTTTAAATAAAAGATTTACATTGATAAATAATTTACCCATGAAAAATACCAGATACTTTTCAATAGCTGAAAAAGTGGGAATGGGTGTCAACTTCCAAGAGAAAAGAGAAGAACCTTCCGCGTTTACTTCTTGTCTGGCATTCGAGAGAATTAAAGGTTTTGTTGTGAAAATACCGATGAAAAGTCGCCAGACGGTAATCACAGTTCGAAATCGAGTTTTCCGGCGAAACATTCTGTGGACATTTCGAACAGGGGGCAGGCATTAAAACCTCTTATATTCTCATCAGCTAACTGGCCACATCCATCCCTCAAAATGCGAGACAAAAAAAAAAATGACTCCACTGAACAGGTCCTAGCTCAGGGCCTATTATCTAAACAAGAATACAACAGGGTAATGCAGAAAAATGGATCGTATGGGACCTCCACAGAAATTTTAGCTCTTTCTGAACTTTACCAAGTAAATTTTAAGATTTATAGACAATCTGGGAATGATGATTTGGAAAACATTTTGTCTTCATCCCCTATTTGCATAAATAAAGCAAATCATGAAAACTCAATAAATTTACTTTTTTCTGGTAATCCTGATTCCGGACATTACGACCTTATTATTTCTCCTGAAAAAAAGTTTGAAAAATAAAAATGGTCTTAAAATTCACCACTCAAGAATACATAGAAGCACTAGCCAAAGCCAAGCCAGCCAAAAATCTACTTCAACTATTTTTTCTCAACAAAAAATCTTATCAGCTGATCATATTGGTGGAAAAACTCTGAACGATGCATTATGCACTATGACATCTTCAATTCCAATTTTATGTCGTATTCCAAAAGGAGCTAGAAATACAATTTCGTCAGAATATTGTCCTTTAGTGGACAAGGTAGCTAAAGAAAACTCTCTCAGGGCTTGGATACTTTTTTAAATTTTTCCCTATGCCTGTTTGTGTCTGCCGAAAAAACGGCACAAGGAATCCCTAACGTCAGATATCAAAGAAATTTTTTTTAAATGGACAAACAACAAAAAAAAAATCTGAAAGAGTTTATAGATATTTATTCATCTTCAACAGTTATTAGAATAGAGAAAAAATGAAATTTACAAGAATAATAGCTCACCAAAAAAAGTGGAATCTAAAATTTTTGAAGGCAATATCCAAGGAGCAGTAAGCCTGTTATGCCCCGAAAAATCAAGAAATTTAGCCCCAAAAAGTCTAGAATTTTTTTCAAAACTACAAGAAAAACACCCAGAACCTACTCAATTATCCCCATTTTCAAAAGAAAGGCAGGCAAGTACCACCAAACAATATTAACTTTTCAAGTTCCGACGTCTCTTTATTCAGCACTGGTCAATCTCACCATTCTTCAAGACCCATTACCTCCAGAAATCAAACCAGTATTTTTTGGAGCCTCCCTATGCGCTTTAAATAAGAAAGATGGTGGAATCCGACCGATTGCAGTAGGATGCTGCTTACGTCGGCTTCTTTCCAAAATTATTTGTTATAGC